AGCCATCAGGGGAGAAAACACAAGCTGACCACAGCCGTGATATTCATCGATTTGCAGTCGGCCTTCCACCACATGCTGAGGGAATTCATCTTTACGATTGATGACCCAGTATGTCAAGAGACACTGCAACGGATTTTTGATCCAAACAACTTTGACATCCAGCAACTGGCCACTGACCTACAGGCTGCTTGTCAAATCATCCCTGATGACATTCCACCTGCTCTACGACTTTTTCTACATGATATCCACAAGTCCACATGGTTCAAGATGAATACAGAGGACAACACTGTGGTTGTGACTGAAAGAGGCACAAGGCCTGGATCTCCTTTAGCTGACGTGGGTTTCAATTTGCTCATGGCAAGACTGATGGAGCGCATAGGCGAAGCATTGGATGCCATCCCCTCCTATGTCCGTGGTTGTGAGCTTATCGGAAACAAAGTGCCACCAATTTCATGGGTGGATGATTTGGCAGTTCCACTTGCCACAGAGGAACCCCATCAGATGCCTCCTTTGATCCAGGAAGTGGTAGGCATTCTACATGAGATTTTTCGGTCACATGGCATGACGATGAACTTCGACAGTGGAAAATCTGAGGCAGTGATCATGTTCAGAGGTAAAGGTGCCAATGCAAGCCGCACTGCTATGTTTGACAATACCATGCAGCCGTGCATTGTCACATCAACAGCCTCTCATGTACTGACATTGAAGATCGTCAGCACTTATAGACACCTTGGTGCGAAATTTACGATGAATGCAGATGCTGGCCAGGAAATCACCACCCGCATCGCAATGGCTAGACAAGCCTTTCAAGAGCTCAAGAGGGCCCTCTTCAAGAACACCTACATCCCACTGAAAGGACGCATGCAGCTGTACGACAGTCTTGTGACATCACGACTGCTCTATGGATGTGCGGTATGGACAGATGTGCCCCATGCAAAGCTTGCACAACTTGAGGCTCTCATTACCGATCACCACAGGCAGATGGCCAACATTGGGTTCTGGAACGATGCCCACATGACAGATGCGCAACTCAGACTTCATTTGGAGACTTCTAGTTTTCGTATCATCTGGGCACGACATCGTTTGGTCTATTTGCAACACATTGCCAAGCACGGATCTGCCTTTCATAAGTCTCTATTATTGCAGGAATTTGCACAGGGACGTGGGTGGCTTCATGAAGTTTGTGTTGATTTGGCATGGATGCAACAGACAGTAGAACTGCCCTTCAGCCCTCCAGAAACAGCCGATGATTGGCGCGAGATTTGGACCTCATTGACCACATCTACGCAATGGAAAAGCATGGTCAAGCGGGCATGCAAAAAACATGGAATCCAAGATCGCATAGCTCATGATGTCAACCATTACCATGACCTCATCATCAAAGAGCTTGAAGATGCTGGATTTACGTTTTGGAATGGTATTGAACAGCAGGATGAACCTGCCACAGAGCGGCATATCTGTCCCGCCTGTGACAGAAGTTTCAGTACAGCTCAAGCGCTTGGATCACATGCCTTTCAGGTACATGGGAAGCTCTCAGAAGAGAAGCCCTATATCCAATCGACAGTATGCCCAGGATGTCTCAAAGATTTCCATACGACGATGAGAGTTCACCAGCATTTGCGTTATCGGCAAAATGGATGTTGGGATCGCATCGTTGGTGCACGTCTCCCAGATGAACCTGTGACCATTGGATTGCCTCAGAACCTAAAAAATGTGGTGCGACTTCCGGCCATCCGAAGGCACTCAGGGCCGCTCCGACCCACCAGTGTCCAGCGTTACAGAACCCAGCTGCAACAGCGCATCACTCAATTGCGGCGCCAGGGCCAAGATGAATATGCATGGTGGCATCCTGAACGAGATCCGCCTCTTGTGCAGCGAGCCTTTGACGCCTTCAGATGCAGTTTGAAAGATTGGTGCGCACAGGAAATCCCGACAGTTGAGAATTTTCACAACATCATGTTTGCCAGCATTTTTGCACTGGATGTGCCGGACCTTCTGGGAGGACGGATTTTTGTTCATTGGATCGAAACAGACTTCTATGATTCCTGGCCAGTTGATTTAGATCCAGATGTCATTGAGATCTTGGAAGCTGCATACATGGACATGGTTGTCGACATTCCAGCCTGGCAACGGCGACACGATATGAAACATCTCACTACGATTTGGATGAATCTACCTCCTGATGTTCCCAGTCATCCACCACGCGAGCAGCCGAAGCAGACTCGACAGGTACAATATGGCCATGTCATTGACATGCCCTATGCTGACATGGGCAATCAGGAAAACCTTCGAAGCCAATGGTGCTTCCTTGGAAGCCCACGCAGGCAGCAACCTTCAAAGATTGGACCATATTATGTGATCCACCTTTACTCAGGACGAAGACGGCCGGCAGATTTCCATGATGCCATGGCGACCATCATATCACAGCTGCCAGCCATTGAGATTCGACTGCTATCCATTGATACAGCTGTCGATCCGACCTTGAATGTCCATGAGGAAGGACTTTGGAATTTTCTGGTAACAATAGCAAGGGCAGGTCGGATCCTGGGACTTTTGCAAGGACCCCCGTGCGAGACCTGGACAGCTGCACGACATCATCAACAGATTGACGATGAAGGTAATGCAGTACGAGGTCCACGACCGCTTCGCTCTGCCTCAGACCCATGGGGCCTTTTGCTATTGACTTTTGGAGAGCTTGCCCAAATTTATACTGGAAACATTTTGCTGCTTAAAGGGCTCTTTTTGGCGTGCTTGGTGGCTCTTCAGGGCGGCGTGACGATCTTGGAGCACCCGGCCACCCCATACGATGACAGCATCTCTTCGATATGGCGCCTGGGCTTGGTTCGACTTTTGCAGCGACCACCACATGGACCTTTTCGACGAGTGAGTGCGGCTCAGTGGAAATTCGGAAGTTGTGGTATAAAGCCTACCACCTTTCTTTACTCCAATTCTGATTTGCCGGCGTCACTAGATGTCTGTCAGGACCCCAATGCACAGAAACCTGACTCATATTTGATAGGAAAGAATCCCGATGGTTCCTATCGCACGGCGAAAGCGAAGGAATATCCGTCATTTTTGAATAAAGCGTTTGCCCATGCGATTTTTGTGTCCATTCAGAAAAGGACGCTATCGCAGGGAATCACAAACGACGAGGCCTATGGCCGACAATTGGCAGACATGGCCATCCATACGGAGTATGATGCCATCAAGCCGGACTATCAGCCGAGATAGGCTGTAGAAGCTATGCACGTAGGCACGAGAATTTCTCAAAGGCCGGAGGAAAAAAAGGAGATCCCCATCAAGTCACCATAGGTTGTGAAGCAATGCAAAGTTACTCAGTCATGGTCGACCATGACTGGATGATTTGGGACCCTGGATTGGACACCTGGAGAGAAACCATCCAATTTTTAGGGGTTGGTAAAACCTTGCCCATTTCAAAGACCTGAAATGAATAGAAACGACATATTCAAATGTTGAACATGGACCAAGAACATATATCCAATGAATTCCAATGATATACATCACACATATATATATACATCATATATATATATATATACATCATATATATATATGAGATCTCCATATGATGAGATTCCCATGTGATTCGAGTGTGATTTTCACAGGGGTAAATCCATCAGTCGATTTTCAGTTGGTGTCGATTGAAAAACCCAGGTGCGGAACCACTGGTCGACATAGCCCCCGTATGATGGGTTACGGGGATGGTTTATGGCTCTCACACTTCTCCAGGATTGTGAAAAACACAACGGGGCGCTTCGGCGCACCAGTCAACCAGTGATTGAGACCCACATCCACGTTGTGGACATTCCCCCAAACTGAACAATCATGAGAACCTTTTTTTCGAATGGCTTAAAGTTGCACCCACAAGTGGTAAAATTTGGGAACATTCTGATGGTTGAAAAAACCGGGCTTATCACATTGGCCAAGACTCAACCAGGATTTGAAGGACATCACACTGTTTCTCCCCAAGTATCAGGGTAAGTTCTAACATGTGTCAAGGCTTCGGCCCCAGAACACCCAAGTTTTTGTCAGATTCCATCCCGATCTTTACTGGTTACCTCCCAGTTGTTGATGGTTGAATCATGTTCCGTCCCAAAAATTAGAGGTTTGATGATCTTAATGGTGAAATCATCAAACAACCCCCAATTTCCGGAAGTCCACGTGAATTTTGCAAGTTCAAAGACGACCAATAACTTGATTACAACCCAATAAGTACTTCATCTTAGCAACTGCATTGCGACAATCACACCCAATTACTTGATGATTAGCCTCCAGAAACCTAACATAGCTATGGAAGCCATCACCCACACATATTGATGATTTGTCGAACTTAAAGATGCTGATTTCCAGTTCGCAACCTTTTTAGTCATTCCCAGAGGGTAAATTCCATTCAATCCCCCAAAAAGTCATCATCAACCCAAACGCTAATTTCATGAAATCCCAGCAAAAATCCTCAAAAATCCCATTGGACCCCTTTAAGTCACCATAACGATCCCATTTTATCCCGTTAAGTCACCATTAAACCCCAGTAATTCCCATTAAATCACCATTCAATTGCCAGTAATTCCCATTAAATCACCATTCAATTGCCAGTAATTCCCATTAAATCACCATTAATCCCAGGTAATTCCCATTAAATCACCATTCAATTGCTAGTAATTCCCATGAAATCACCATAAAACACCAGTAATTCCCCTTAAATCACCATTAAACCCCAGTAATTTCATTAAATCACCATTAACCCCCCATCCCCACCCCCCTAATGATCATACGACAGCATATGCAACATGTTAAAAACTCAAAAAATCAAATCCTATACCCCCATTTCCGCAAGCCTCATTTTTGAAATTTGCAACCCTTCCAAGGGATCGTAAATGGCACATCTCAAAATTGGCAACCCTTCCAAGGGCGCCGTATCAGCCGCATGCCAAAAACAACCCCAATTTTTCCACTGCCAGAAACGCCGAAACGTCGTCCAGGACACCCTGCGCCTCTTCCTTCGAGGCCACGGGGCTAAGGCCTCGCCCCATGCGTTGCTGGCGAGCGCGCCCGCGGCGGCGCCGCTGGTGCAACAGGAGATGCGGCAGGAGCCGGTGCTGGGACCAGGCGGGAGGCGGTTGGGGGCAAGTTCGGATGGGGGACAGCCGGGGACAGCACCAAAAATGATGGGAAAAATGGGGAAAAATGGGGAAACATATGGAAAACTGGGGAAGATGATGGGAAAAATGATGGGGATGGGTGAAGTTTTCATTCAGCTGCAAAGGGCAAAGGAAGCTTTTCGTGCTGTCTTGGAGCTGTGCATATTTTTGTTCACCGGAGGGGCTGGTAGTGTGGTAAGAGTGAGCTTTCAGAGCAGTGCGCAGAAACGGCGTTTTTCACAGGAGGACAACTAGTGACAAACTGCAGATGTTTGATGGGAAACATGGTGACTTTTATTATGTTTTTAAGCGTCAAGTCATACCTTTAATTTGAGATGATGTGAAAAAGACGGCTGGATTTGAAGCATCCAACGTCTTGGTTTGAAGTTGAGCGGAAGGACATATAGGGACAAAAATGGCTTGTCAGCCTCTACAAGAGAACGGGGATTCTGATTTGGGGAAATATGGAATTTGGAGTCGTCTAAACGGGTGGAGATTTAATCAAAGGAAATGGAGGTTTATGCTCATCAAAATCTATGATTTAAGGAAGAAAACTCCAAAATAATCATGACATTGTGGATTGTGGCATGAAAACTGATGATTAGGTTGAAAGAAGGAGAATTTGATCAAGAATAGTGATAGATGATGATGCAACGCACTACATTGCATGGTTAGATGTGGCAGCCATTTGCCGGTGCATTGGTGGTTGCCATAGCCTGTAGAGGTCTTGATGTAGTTCTGACATGGATGAAGAACGATGTGCATGTCGTTTTTTTATTCAGCTGTTCACCGGAGCAAATCGCGGACGGGTGTTTGTTTTTGCCAGGTGTCTACGTCAGTGCAGAGACCAATGACCGCAGCCTAGATGATGTTGCAGCTCGGCATGGTGGTGGAGATGGGCGATCGACCCAGCATTTTTGGTCCCAAGTTGGACAAGACGAGCGACTTCTGGACCGGTTTGAAAAAAGTTGATCATCAACAGTTTCCCAGAGATTTTGGTACTATACTTGTAGGTATATGATATTGTATGAAATGTACTTATTATAAATTCAGAAAGCCTTCTTGCCAGCGCTGAAATCACCAATTGATATTCATTTCTTTTTGTCGATATATTACATGATCTTATGTTTTTTGTTGTCCATGCACAAGCCTTGGTGTCTGTATTTCTAATAGAAGAGGCTTGTGCATGGACAGCAAAAAACATAAGATCATGCAATATATATATATATCGACAAAAAGAAATGAATATCAATTGGTGATTTTAGCGCTGGCAACAAGCCTTTCTGCAGACAGGCTTGTTGTGGGCGTGCAAAAGGCAATTTGTTCCCCCAAATACATTACATGATCTAAAACCATATTGGCCTTTTGCTGTCTATGCACAAGCCTTTTCTAGTGGAAATAGAGCTTAGAGTCGTTAATCACCCAAAACCCAAAACCCACCCAAAAAAAAGCAAAAAACAAAAATAAAACAAACAATACAATGTTTTGGGGACTACTTGGATCTAGGCATGTTCAGGCTAGTCTGGAAAACATTGTTTTTTTTTTTTGCCTTCTTTGTTTTTTTGGTTTCTTTGGATTTTTGATTCCTTAGGATTAATCCAGATAATGCAAACCAAATCTGATTCATCTTGCCCCCAAGGCATTCTTGTGAAGTCATTACTAAAAAAGTATATAAGCTAAACATGCGCAGTATTCCTTGGGGATGTGCAATTTTCCTTTTCAGGTGTGAAGCCTTTGGGGATGTAAAATTGTGTTTTTGGAGAAGGAAGCCTTTCCTTCAAATAAATGGTGTTCCTGTCCCAGTAGAGCGCAGCTGGAGTTCTTTGACAGGAGTGTTACATATTTACACAGAAATGGTGTCATTGAAAGGATTGTTAGATATTTTCAAATCATGGTGTACCTGGTAACTTTCAAAAGATGCAGCTGATTCAAAATTTGTGAGTAACACATTTCCTTCAAACAATGTTGTTCCTTCCAAACAGATGACAGCTGGGTTTCTTTGAAAGGAGCGTTACATCTTTTAAAAGAAATGGTGCTACTTTCAAACATAAAGGCCAGCTGAGCTTCTTTGAGAGCAATGTTACATCTTTAAAGGATACAGGGCATATTTTGACACAATATGTGTTTCTGTTATTTAAACTAAACTGTTTATTTTGTTTTAAAATAAGATTGCAACTTTAAGTTAAGTATTCAATCTTTGAAGAAACAGCATCTGCCTGAAGGAATGTTACCATGATAAAGGAAAGACAGGAATATTGCACTTTAGAACACAATACACATCGTAGATAACACATATTGTTCTTTAAAAAATCCAACCTTCACAAAAAGATTTCTTCCTGAAAAAAAAAATGACTAGCTCAAAAGCAACCACCAGCTTGTAAATAACAACAACTTTTTGGTTGAAGTGGATGCATTGGAAGGAAAATTGCACTTCTTTGAAGAACCTCATTTCTTCAAAGCATTGTCTGCTGGGAATATAGCACAGGCCTGCAACTTCATAGACTATATACATATATTTCTCTTTGGGCAATGAAAGCAAGTGAGAACAACTGCATTGCCTAATATTGTTTGCAATTTTGCCTTTAGCTCAATGTGTTACATTTTCTTTGGTCAACTGCTGCGCTGCGCAGCTCAAACTCATTCAACATTGTTATGTACTTCCACACCTGTTTGAAAACACCAGGGAGTTTCCTTAATTTTCCAACTGAAATAGGCCTTGTACATGAATTAAGGTTGTGTTTCAAAGAGGACTCATTTTTTTCAAAAGAATGTGGTATTGTACCACGATTATATGGAAACATGACAGTAGTGTACCGCTAGAATTTCAAAACACTATTATATATATATATATTTCTAATTTTCATGATGTTTGCCACACAAAAAGAAGGATAACTATTGTTTATGATAAGTACATGACCTGAACTTATCCACTGTAATTTTGCATTTTATATTACATATATATTCTGTTGCAGCTAATGCTCCGGAGCCACAAATCATTGGAAAAACACAGTGTTTCGCGACTTTCCTACCTTTTCGCGCACCTGGATCTTCTTTCTTCTGAGACTTTCTCCTTTTTGATCTTCTTTCTCCGAAGTGGAGATATATCCTGTTTTCTCTTCTAGGGTTGAAATTTATTCTTGGCATTTGCCACATTTTGAACCTAATGACTACCATTGTTCTAAAGAAGTGCATTTTACAGCTGAATATGTGTTTTTTTTTCTGGGTCAGGCCTCCTCCTTTTAAACATCCTGTTTGATTATGACCATTTCCCAAAGGATACAAGAACATGAGGAAAGCCTACTTTCCAGCGCTGGCAACAAGCCCCTTTCGATATTGTATACATACATGCATACAAGATTATATATAAATAATATGGTATGTCCATGGCTTTCTAGCCTCTTGAAACTGGTCATCTCCGGATTCTCTAAGGGCGAATATGAGGACGATGAAGTGGTGTCAGATGCCATCAACGACCCCATGGGCTTCTTTGGTGCTGCGGGCAAATCCACGTTGCAGTCACCCTGGCAACTTCCATCGCCAAGGTGCGACAGTGTTGCCCTAGGATCAATGTGGGGTCACAAAACTATGATTGAATGCATTTTTCCCAGAATTTACAGGAAACCATCGATTTTCCTTAGAAAAAAATGGGGCTTTCCTGTAGATTTTCCCTTAATCCAATGATCATGGCATCCAATGGCCCGTCCCAATGATCTTCCCCGCTTGCGCAGCTTGACATCGCTTCAAAGTGGCGATCGTTGGGGCTTGGCTTTAGTGAAAGTCATGGGAGGCGCGCCGTGTACCATGGGGGATGTGCGAATCATGATCAACCAATGGGCAAAACAAAGATGTATGGGAAACATGGGGAAATTGACTTTACAAAGATGAACAACAACAACAACAACGACGACAACGACGACAACAACGACAACAACGACAACAACGACAACAACGACAACAACGACAACAACGACAACAACGACAACAACGACAACACCGACAACACCGACAACAACGACAACAACGACAACAACGACAACAACGACAACAACGACAACAACGACAACAACGACAACAACGACAACAACGACAACAACGACAACACCACCACCACCACCACCAACAACAACAACAACAGCAACAACAACAACAACAACAACAACGACAACAAACAACAAAGATTGTGTTTACTGACGTCGGTATAGTGAACAAATTTTTGTTTACGAAGAGGATATTTAACAAATTATCAATGAACACACAACATGATTTTATACTCATTGACTTTTTTTACAACGTATCCGATGTGATGATACCATTTAATTCATATTTTGTCGGATCAAAACGGTTAAAACATGTTTTAAAAATTGGAGACGCCCATGACATTCCAACGCCATGACAGGCTTCGATGCGGACAGGTACACGATGGGGCGCATGGTGGGATTGCTCGTCCTTTTGAATCAGATTCTTGGTGATTTTGGAGTGGTTGGAAGTCGTTTCAAGGAGGCTAGACCCTCTGGTACTTGAAAAAAATCGAATTTGACGACCACCATGGGTAAATGGGTAAGTCATGCATCAACCGTGATTTTTTCCATGGCTACGGTAGATTACCTGAGGTGAAACTGTTTGATGTTCAAAGTGGCTAAACATGATTCAGGCGTTTTGAAGGGAGCAGACGATATTTGTGGATGGATGGATTTGAAACACCAAGTAACTACTGGAGATGGAAGGAGGCTGGCGTTTTTAAAATGGATCTGAACCGCCCACGCTTGTAACTAAAGGCTTGAAAGGAGGATCATTTGTGTCCCGAAATTTGGGGGGATTGCTGCGCTGGGTCCAAGGAAGGTCATTGGCTGCTGTTGGTGTCACGGTGTAAATGCCCCTTGGTGTGAAATTTATGGGCCGGACTCCGGACGTGGCGATTTGACGCTTAGCTTGGATGATGCTCAGCAGCGATTCGCGGTCCCAAAAATAGGTACCTTTTTGTTTGGCTATGGACCAAAGACTTTGGTCAGCTTTTTGGTACCAAACCATCTAGTAGATTTCAGCCAGATTTCAACAAAAAGATCACCCAGATTTCACCGATTTACATCCATTGTTCTAGGTCGATTTCACCATATGTCAGCCGTAGATTTCTGGTACATCCAGATTTCAGCCGTGTTTGTACAACCCATCCCCAGTCATAGATGTCCTTTTCCCATTGGTTGGTTGATTAATAGAGTGGTTTGAAGAAACCCCTTTAACAACAGGCAAATGATGATAGATGGTATACCAGCTCCCGGCCCCTCTATTTTTACCAAAAGGACATTATTGTCCCCAGTGTTGGCACAACCAGCGTCGCGGCTTCGCCGATGATCTACCAAGGGCTTCAAGAGCCAGGCTGCTCCGTGATGCTTGAGATGTGGACCGCATACAAACAGAATGTGTATATATATATATTATGTATATGTCAATCAATATATGCATAGACATATATATATATACACATTATTACACAAGCATTGATCAATATTCCTTCTGATCAATTATAGTGCACAACCAAGTCCTTTTTTACGCTTCGACGTGCAGGCCGCCTTCCTCGAAGTCCAAGCCATGGGTGGCAGCCACGTAGGACTTGCAGCGCAGCGATTGGCGGAACAGCCACCTCTGAAGGAGACGGGTTGAATGGGGTCGTTTTTAACGGGAAAATAATGGCGGTTTAGCTTTGAGAAATGGGGATTTTAGGGGCATTTTAGAGGATTTCATGGGATTTTATGGGATCTAATGGATTCATATGAGATTTCTATTCCATTTGATGGGATTTCATTCATGGTGCAAAACCAACTATAATATGGTGATAATGGGATATATGGGATTTTTCTTGGAGAAGGATTTTTTTTCGCAAGAAGTATCGGATAAATGGCATGTGATGGGTACTGGGATATAGACGCAGCAGCCAACCATCATTTGGTCGCACTCATAGGGAATTACTATGGGATTTTGGTTCCGGATGTGAAATGTGACTGATCTGGTCGAGTCTGAGATTGAGATCCTGAGAAGCAGTAGAAAACGGGAGGATCTCAGACTTAATCTCGAACTTGGTGACTTTATTTAGTAGTGTTTAGTAGTATTATTCTTCTGAGATCAAGTCTGAGATTGAACATGTGACACAAAATGTGTGGCATGGCGCAGTGGAAAAAGGGTTGAAAAGATCTTGCTTGATATCGAACCAACATATATAATTTGATTAAGCTATGGGGGATGAAAAGAGGCCTGGCCATCTGGGGATGTAACATGATAGAACCAACCAGGGATAAGCAACAGTTTGTGATCTTCAAAAATAATCTACCCTATGGTTATTTAAGATAGCCATGGAAAATGGCCCATAGAAATAGATGGTTTACCTATTGACAATGGTGATACCCTCCAGTAAATTAACATAGACCCTGGTAGTCATCGGGATTGGAAGATGAGTTTCCTCTAAAAATGGGTGATTTTCAGGGTCGAACTGTGACAATTTACCAGAGGGTATTGGCAGTCCGGAAAATGGGGGCTCGCTTCCAAAGTATGTCCATCAAAAAAGGGATTGGGGATTTATGATATGGCTAAATAAGAACAGAGGTCCATTATATATGGAATCCTTTTTCCTGTTTGGAGCATCTATTTTGCATATATAAGAGTTATATGACTATATACTGTGCTACATACCATGAGGGATCTATGATGGGCTGACCCAAATGGAGGATCTAGTATGAACCGCATGTATGTGTTTGAATTTGAAATTATTTAATATAGGAAGAAAAAGAACATGGGAGATGTATTGTAGCAGCAGTCTTTACTATATAATCGACCAAAACCACATTAACTGGGAGGATTTACAGTATTCTCGCAAACCAAACCCAGGGATTTCTGCAACCAAAGCGAACCCAACCCGGGGGCCCGGAGGGCGCGATACCAACGTTGTCAAAGAGGCCAAGTATCAAGGAGATCCAACGCTATCAAGCACGGTTTCCCCGAAACCGAATGAACCGGTCTCTCACGGTTGTCTTTTAAAGTTGATATGGATGTGGGTCAAAATGGAAGACCTAGGGGACCACAGATGTTAGTCTAGTTTAGTATTAACCATCCAATTATTGGGGTACCTAATTTTGACCCATCCCCATATGTTCGGGTGTTAATTTTTTGGAGAAAACCCAAATAGTTTGGGGTGCCACTCAAGGTTGGTTGAGAAATGGATATGGATTCAATGTATGTAGAGATATGGCACTGGGTCAAAACCCTGGCCCAGATTGCAATTTTATTCCAATGAAATTCCCAGAATTCCCAGGTGAACAACGACTTTTCGGTAGGGCTACGACTTTTCGCTTCACGCCACTTACCGTTGCCTAATCTGGGATGGTCAACCCATCAGGGACTATGGCAGTCATTGTCATGCCATATTCCACACTCATTAGTTTCTTTGGTAAACTAACATAACTATGGAAAATCACAATCTTTAATAGGTAAATCAACTATAAATGGGTATTACCAGAGGGTATTTTTTTGGTATACTAAGGGATTACTACATAGTCCTCTTATGTCCTTATAAGATTCAGAAGCCAAGCTGCGATGACCATACCACATTCATCCCTTTTTTGCCCCCGCCCGAAGGAGTGGCTGAAGGCGCTGGAAACTGCGCCCGTGTTGCGAGCGCAGTTTCGGCACCTTGGAATCTGAGGAATATGGGGAGACTCCACAGAACATGGGCTATTTTTGAATGCCAAAAATCCCTTCTGTTCATATAAAAAACAGCCCCCTAGATGGTTCAGTAAAGGATGAAACATGGGGTTGAAACCCACACTGGGGAAACCAACCACACTTTATTGGGACCATAGAATGGGGGTGTTTAATATGAATGGGGGATGGGATTGTTGATGAGAAACCATGGCTGGGGGTTTCCGTAAATGGGGGTACCCAAATAGCTGGATGAAAATGGATGATTTTGGGGTACCCCCTTGGATTGGAAAGCTCCATTTGAAAAGAATGGGATACCCGATTTTTAGACAGACCCATTTGGTTCCACGCGTAAAATCCATCTTCTTGCTGGTAAGACTCCGTTATTTTTGTTCGTGATATGGCTATTCTTGTTGGTATCGGAACAGCTTGTAAGGTCAAGTACTTTGGTACATGATATATGACAAAACATGGATGACGCTTCCCCCCACATAGAGTCGGAAACTGTTAGTTTGCTGATGAGGTGCCAAGTGGTTCAGTCATACTCCTCCTGACCAGCTTTTCTTGGAGCGGATTTGGTCGATGAAGAAGGTGAATTTTAGCTTTTTCTCACTGGTGCTTAGTAGGGAATGGGGAATGGGATGATTGCTTTTAGTTATTATGGACCATTGCCCCATTCCCTGCTAGGCGCCAGATTTTGTTTTTTGCCACATGAATTTCTGCAACACACAATCTTCTGATGGGGATCCGTTGAACGATATTCTTGGGAAGCCAAGGAGCCCCGCAAGAACCCAGTTGGTTCAGCTGGGAGTCCCAACCTCCCAGAAAAACCGATCACATCCCTTGGTCGAGCGAAGATCCCTTTCCGATTTTCCCGAATCCGCTGCGGCTCTTTTTCACATTGAGGAACCATCCTCGAATTGTGGACACCCTCTCTCTATCTCTCGATGATGACGTTGTTGTTGATGATGATGATGGTGATGGTGATGGTGGTGATGATGTTGATGATGATGGTGGTGATGGCGATGGTGATGGTGATGGTGTTGTTGTTGTTGTTGATGATGATGATGATGATAACATGGTGACATGGTGACATGGTGACGATGATGGTGTTGTTGATGATGATGATGTTGTTGTTGATGATGACGATGATATTGTCTCATTGCAGTGTCCAGAAAGTTCGAAACATATTTCATGATCAGCCTTTTGTTTGGAACGGGAAAAACAGTGTGTATATCTAATAGATACAATCGGGACCCACACACACCAATATGTATACATATATGTATGTATGTATGTAATGTAATATAATGTAATGCAATGTAATATAATGTAATGTGATGAAATGTAATGGAATGGAATGTAATGTATGTATGTATGTATGTATGTATATAATTATGTATATAATTATGTATATAATTATGTATAGAATTATGTATATAATTATGTATATAATTATGTATATATATATATATGTACACACGCGCACACACACACATACATGATTTATACCAATTTCACTTGTCACCAGCAGCTTAGTTACTAAGGGCAGCTTGAAGCCGCGGCGTGGCGCAAATCGATTTCGGAAAAGTCTGGAGCGCGGATTTTGCCTGGAAATCGACCCACAAATTGCCACGGATTTGACCACGACGAACTAAATGGGTTTCCCAAAAAATGGGGTACCCACAGATTTCTCATCATTTTGACATGGCCATAAAAGGAATGGGTGCATCATTTTCACGTCCCAAAAAAACATGTTTGCCTTTCCTGAAATCAGGATTTCTCAGCCAGGCATGTTTGATTGCTGGAGGGTAAGAACCAAGGATGGGTATGGATAATTTGCCATCCATCGATAACAAAGTAGTTTAGTCTTGTTTGTTATATAGGTCCAATAAGTTGACTTCAAGAAGTCTTGGGTTGTTTCAGCGGGCCAGTGACCATGGTTGAATACATAAACCAGCGAACGACGTGAAAATGGGCCAGTGCAGTTCTCCGGCATGGTCGGTTGATACTTGAACCAAGAACCGGGGGGACTAACTCTTCAACCGTCAAATAGTAGGTAAAAATGATCAAGCAATGGACGGAATGGGGTTTTCGCCCAATTTTTCAGCCAATGTCTAGAACTTTTGCTTCACTGTTTGGGTAAGCAACATGC